CTCTCTTTCCATGTGCTTTTCCTTCGGCTCATTCTCTACAGGTTTGTACTTAATACGAACTTAAATTCTTTTGGTTTTTATGTGCAACAATATTCGAGACATTACTGGCATTTTTTCTCCCGTACAGATCATGTTTCTACTTGTTTTTGCCAAAACAAACAAAGATAAAAAAGCTTCAAGACAAAAAGTCCAGTTCAAATTCCAGTGTTAAATACAGCTAATCATCTTCTGTGTGACAGTCATCGTTCATTCCAGTCTGAGACATCTCTTCTGGAAGTTCAATCGACACCAGAGCTTTACAAACATGGGCTGGACCCACTGCATCATTTGGTGAGTGTGATGAAGATTTTTTAATTTGTTTGTTGTATTAAAGAATCTTTTATTTCGGTGAATTTCTCATTAAGCTCATGGAGCCCATCAGTATTGCAGAGCTTTTTGTTATATGTTTTTTAATCATTATGCTTCATCTACAACCAATGTTCTAGACATATAGCTGTTAAAGTTGAAGACGTTGAACAAATTGTTAGTAATGTAGAAGAAATCAGCTTGGTGATTGAAGAAAGTTGATGTTAAAATTAAAGTGAAAATCAGCGGTTGTGTCACTTTATTTGCTCTTGTTCTGTTTGCATCAACTTTGGACGACTGACTCAGCTCCAGCGCTCTGTTTATTTGCTTTTCCAGGTTTCTGTGGTTTTCAGTGAGTGAGTGCCAGCAGCTGTCCACCACTGAGCCTGAAATGCACGGACAAATCCAGTCTCCCCAATATCCGCGACCTTATCCTCCCCACCTGGAAAAGCAATGGGACCTCTGGGTTCCCAGGGGTTACCAGATCCAGCTGTCTTTAACACATCTGGATATTAAAGTTTCTGCAGGCTGCAGTCAAGACTCTCTCACAGTCAGAGCTTTGATTAGATCTGAATTTTAAAAATATTTCAAACAAGACACAAAACTTTTTATATTGCAGTTTTCAATTTTAGTGTATTCTTTCATTCAGTTTGACTGGAAGTTAATTTATATTTTTAATAAATGTTTGCGTACGTGTTTTACAAAAGCAGTTTGTTAACATGAGTTTTGACTTAATTTTCCAGTTTTTCTACGATGAAAAGGTTTTGGGAAGGTTTTGTGGCCAGGGAAACTCTACTGATCACCATGGTGACGAGACGATCCTTTCTCCAGGCAACAAACTGACTCTCGTATTCCAAACAAGTGACTCTACACCAGAGCATCAACAACATACTGGTTTTTCTGCCACGTATAAGGCAATAGGTACAGTTTTCCTGAAATTTTCCAACTCCCATTAATGTACTATTTCATCAACAGCTTCAGGAAAAGTTTAACACAGTAAATATTCTTTAAATAGACATAGACGAGTGTTCCAAAACAGACCCAGGACTGGATTCAGGTCCACTTTGCTCTCAAATCTGTATCAACACTGCTGGGTCCTACCGCTGCTCCTGCCACAGTGGTTACAAGCTTCATTTAGACCAGCGCACATGTCTGTGTAAGTGTCGAATACAAGAAATGAGGCCTTTTAGTACATTAATACTTGTCATATGAAGCTCAGTCGCTAGAATATGGTTGAGGTGGTATGCTGATTACTGATTCTCTTACTGTTATTATTATACTGACCTTTGGTTCTTGCCCAGTGTCCTGTGGTGGGTGTGTTTTTGACAAGCATGAAGGACATCTGTCCAGTCCAGGGTATCCTAAACCCTCACCCCCTTTTCTCTCCTGCAAGTACATCATCTCTGTGGAGCCCAGATTCATCGTGACGCTCAACTTCAGAGACAATTTTCACATTGATAATAAAGATAATCAGCATGGTTCAAGCTGCCAAGGTCACTTTTTACAGGTAACGACTCGCGGTACCCACAGGGATTAAAAGTTACAAACCATGCTCCTCTGGTCTGTATGCAGCCTTCCACTATCTCTCCCCTCATAGGTGACCATTCCAGGCAGATTAGCTATGAAATTTTGTGGAACAAAGAGTCCTGGTCTGATAGTTACGAACTCAAGTACAGTCAGGCTGGACTACCACACTGAGGAGGAAGGTCTGAGCAACGGCTGGAGCCTGCAATATAGCACACATGGTGAGGAGGAGAGGTGACATTTCCACGTTAGCAGTTTAAAACTATTTTTCTCATGCTGTTCATTCATGTTTGGTTGCTGCGTTCTTTACAGAGGTGAAATGTCCACACCCAGGGAGTGTGACAAAAGGCAGCATCACTCCTGATTTAAATGAATACTTTAGTGGAGACTCGATCCATGTCACTTGTGACCAAGAATACAAGTTGATGATGGTAATATGACATTTCATTGTTTACTACAGTGTGCATCAGTGAACTTTATTAACAGCCTCTTTTCCCTCACAGGATATTTATAGAGGTTTTTTTTGCTATCTGCATGTGTCTGTGTTTGAGCAACAGAAGCAGATCTTTCTTCATTTTTCTTTAGGTTTTTTCTTTGGTGAATTTGTCAATTAGAAAATGTGTGTAACAGTCATATATTTTCAGGGACAACAAGAGATTAAGACATTCTCAGCCATGTGTCAAAGCGACGGGCAGTGGCAACTCCCTCTCCCAACCTGCATAGCAGGTACTGATGTGCTGTCAAAATAAAATACTCTAATAACAAATTTAGGACTTCAAAATGAAAGCATGAAGCCTTTGCTTACACCTGAGTTCTGTTCATCTTATCCAGTTTGTGGTCAGCCAACAAATCACATCAATGTGTATCAGAGGATCTTTGGAGGCCAGAACGCTCCAGATAATACAATCCCCTGGCAAGTGCTACTGAGTGTAAGTGGAAACAGGGGAGGAGGCATGGTGATTGGAGACCGGTGGATTATGACAGCAGCTCATTATGTAGTAAATAGGGGAGTGGTGGTATCAAATGAATCTGTACGGGTAAGTAGTTGACTGTGAGCATTACTTTGTATGATCTCTGTCTGATTGGGATTCCCTTGGTAAATGTTTCCTTTTATGATAATGACTTGCAGATTTTCATGGGACTTAATGAGGTAAAAGCCCTCGAGAAATCTCCTCTGTTTGCTGCCTCAATCCATGTTCACCCTGAGTACAACAACCCCAACTATGTAGAGTACAACAATGACATTGCCCTGATCAAACTGGAAGACACACTCACATTCAACTCATCTGTAATGCCAGTGTGTTTGCCAGAACCAGGAGCCACATATGATACTGGTGTGATGGGGTAAACAAACTGCTATTGTGTCAAAATGATTTTGAAGTCTCTTTAATGTCATCTACACTGTATAAAATTTGATGTTACTTTTAAGTGCTCTCATTGTTTGTTAACCACTTTATTTTGATAAGCTATTATCTTTAAGGTTCTGGATTAGTAAGAATTTTACTGAGCCCACAATGAATGTGTTTTGTATTCTTTCAGGCTGGTGTCTGGCTTTGGTGTTACAAACGAGAATAATCGTCGCATTCTAACAAATCAACTGAAGTATGTTTATCTCCCAGTGGTGGACCAGCAGACATGCAGGGATTCAGTCACTTCGGCAAGGAGAAGAAATAACAACATACCAGACTTAACAAATAACATGTTTTGTGCTGGACTCCCTGAAGGTGGGAAGGACTCATGCCAGGGTGACGCTGGGGGCCCCTTCACTCTGACTAAAGATGGGCGACAATGGGCTGCTGGGATTGTCAGCTGGGGGGTTGAGTGTGGAGGAAAGGGCACATATGGAGTCTATACCAGAGTCGCTAATTACCTGAACTGGATCAAGAAGACCATGCAGGAGAACTAAAGTTACAGTAATTCAGAACAACACGGTGTAAATACACGATGAGGAAAAACATTTGGACAATAAATATTATACTATTTTCGCTCTGCTGTGGAGTTTGATTTGAGAATTTTTAATCTATATTTCACTAAAAGCTCAGTTTTTGATTTTCCGCTTTCTGGAAACAACCACAAAATACTGTCTGAAAGTCGGTGCATAGTCTTTAAATCCCTGTAACGCCTGTATTTTACTGTGTTTGAATAAAGATAGTTTATGCAGATCTGCATGTGTTTTTTTCTTGTGTCTAAGATTAATCAAATCCTCCCACTTTGAAAATGATAAACACATCATCAGTCATTTCATCCCACTCTAACAAAGAAGGCCTGCTCTCTTTCCATGTGCTTTTCCTTCGGCTCATTCTCTACAGGTTTGTACTTGATACGAACTTAAATTCTTTCGGCTTTTATGTACAACCATGTTTGAGGCATTATTGGCATTTTTTCTCCCGTACAGATCATGTTTCTACTTGTTTTTACCAAAGCAAACCAAGAAAAAAAGAAGAAGCATGAAGACAAAAAGTCCAGTTCAAATTCCAGTGCTAAATACAGCTAATCATCTTCTGTGTGACAGTCATGGTTCATTCCAGTCTGAGACATCTCTTCTGGAAGTTCAATCAATGCCAGAGCTTTACAGACATGGGCTGTTTTTCTTTTTCTTTTGTGAATTTCCAATTTAGCTCACAAAGCCTATCAAGATTTTAGAGCTTTTTGTTATATGGTGTGTTTTTTTTTATCATTATGCTCAGTCCACAACCAATGTTCTAGACATGAAGCTGTTAAAATTGAACAAGGCGAGCAAATTGAGCCTGTCATGCACGGACAAATCCAGTCTCCCCAATATTCTCAACCTTATCCTCTCATCCTGCAAAAGCAATGGGACCTCTGTATCTGCTGGTTTCAGATTTTTATGTAACTTAATGATATCAGAACATTTCAGCACTCTCTTCAGTAAGCAGCTCAGTCTATTTTCACCCTGAGTACAACTACTCCAGCAGTACAGACTACAGCAATGGTACTGACTTGATCAGAGTGCAAAAGTAGATCTCATAATCTCATGTGTAATGCCCACATGTTTGCCAGAGGAGGGTGCTACACACATAACTGAAATGAGAGGCAAATAAATACATTAGATTTTTTTAAAGTATCATATTTATCTAAAAGGAGTAAACATTTTCCTCATAAATTTTTGAATTTGTTCTTCTCCCCTAAGTAACAACATGTATAAATTCCACTAATTTTGTGGAAAAGATTTACAGGAAGTCACTGCTGTATTTTTGTTTTCACGCTGGTTTCGGGCTTTGGTCTTTCAATAATGAGCATGTGTATTTCCACAAGGAGACACATGAAATACCAGAATTAACAAATAACATGTTTTTGTGCTGAACTCCCTGAAGGTGGGAAGGACTCGTGCCAGGGTGACAGAGACACTGGGCTGCTGGGATTGTCAGCTGGTGGGTTGAGTGCATACCAGGTAACAATCTGTTGTTAGCATAAAGGCATTTAATCACACATTTAAGTCTTCAGTCTGTTGTCAGACAGCAAAATCCATTAAGTGTAAGAGTATATCATGAGTATAAATGGAGCCAGGAGAGCAAGCATAGTTGCAAGACCAGTTAATTATGACTTCAAATAGTTATGTTGTAACGGGCAACCTGTATCAAATTTAACAGGTAAATATTCAATTGCATGTGTTATTTGATATTTGCTTATTGAATACTTCCCCCCTTCCTCTTATGGTGTTGATTTGCAGATTTTCATGTGATCTAATAATATCAGAACCCACCAGGTCTCCCCTATGTTTCTGGTCACACTACAGCAATGCCATCACCTTGATCAAACCTCTACACTTGATCATATTCACCTCATTCATTATGATTATGTCCATATGCTTGCCAGCAGAAGATGCTGATTCTTGTGAACACATTCGCCAATTTATGCTTTTCTCCACTCGAGTGCCAACCTATAGATCTCACTCGGCTTCAACATGAAATACTTGTAGATGTTTTGAATTTTCCATAAGTCTCAGTTATACAGTGGGATGCAAAAGTTTGGGCAACCTTGTTAATAGTCGTTATTTTCCTGTATAAATCGTTGGTTGTTACAATAAAAAATGTCAGTTAAATATATCATATAGGAGACACACACCGTGATATTTGAGAAGTGAAATGAAGTTTATTGGATTTACAGAAAGTGTGCAATAATTGTTTAAACAAAATCAGGCAGGTGCATAAATTTGAGCACCACAAAAAAAGAAATGAAATCAATATGAAGTAGAGCTGCCTTTTGAAGAAATTACAGCCTCTAAACGCTTCCTGTAGGTTCCAATGAGAGTCTGGATTGTGGTTGAAGGTTTTTTGGACCATTCCTCTTTACAAAACATCTCTAGTTCATTCAGGTTTGATGGCTTCCGAGCATGGACAGCGCTCTTTAACACACACCACAGATTTTCAATAATATTCAGGTCTGGGCTGAGATGGCCGTTCCAGAACGTTGTACTTTTTTCTCCGCATGAATGCCTTAGTGGATTTTGAGCAGTGTTTTGGGTCGCTGTCTTGATGACCACATATTTTACTGTAGGCAGCAGGTGTTTTTCTTGGAATGCTGTGTTCTTTTTCCTCCATGCATAACACCCCTTCTTATGCCCAAATAACTCAATTTTAGTTTCATCAGTCCACAGCACCTTATTCCAGAATGAAGCTGGCTTGTCCAATGTGCTTTAGCAAACCTCAAGCGGCTCTGTTTGTGCTGTGGGCAGAGAAAAGGCTTCACTCTTGCATACAACATCTCCTTGTGTAAAGTGCGCCAAATGGTTGAACGATGCACAGTGACTCCATCTGCTGCAAGAGGATGTTGTAGGTCTTTGGTGCTGGTCTGTGGGTTGACTCTGACTGTTCTCACCATCCGTCGCTTCTGTCTATCCCAGATTTTTCTTGGTCTGCCACTTCGAGCCTTAACTTGAACTGAGCCTGTAGTCTTTCATTTTCTCAATATGTTCCTAACTGTGGAAACAGACAGCTTAAATCTCTGAGACAGCTTTCTGTATCCTTCCCCCAAACCATGATGGTGAACAGTCTTTGTCTTCAGGTCATTTGAGAGTTGTTTTGAGACCCCCATGTTGCTACTCTTCAGAGAAAATTAAAAGAGGAGGGAAACTTACAATTGACCCCCTTAAATACTCTTTCTCATTATTGGATTCACCTGTGTATGTAGGTCAGGGGTCACTGAGCTTACCAAGCCAATCTGAGTTCCAATAATTAGTTCTAAAGGTTTTGGAATCACTAAAATGACAACAGTGCCCAAATTTATGCACCTGCATGATTTTGCTTAAACAATTATTGCACACTTTCTGTAAATCCAATAAACTTCTTTTCATTTCTCAAATATCACAGTGTGTGTCTCCTATATGATATATTTAACTGACTTTTTTTTTTATTGTAACAACCAACAATTTATACAAGAAAATAATGACTATTAACAAGGTTGCCCAAACTTTTGCATCCCACTGTACTTTTGTTTCAGGCTTTGGTGTTTTGCTTTTGCATTGTAAACATGGATAACAGGCAGATTCAAACAAGCAAACTGGAGTATGTGCATTTCTCAGTGGTGAAGCAGGAGACATGCAGGAATTTAATCATTTTGCTTAGGAGCAAAACATAGGGGGCACATTGTGTCTATAACTATCTGAACTTGAGCAACACTGGAGCCTATCCGAGCTGCAGTACCATAAGGTTAGAAGCAGGGTGCACCCTGGACAGGTCACCATGCTGTCGCAGGGCCAACACAGAGCCCAGGATAAAATCCTGTAACAATTTATTCTTGGAGAAATTCAGCAAACAAAACAGACCAATACATTTAGAATCTAAGTCTTCATTAGGGTCTATAAGAAATCAGACACATCAGAGGGACACAGTGGAGACACCTCTGGTTGAACGGTTTGGAGACATGCTTGTGTGGACTGGACAAAGCATGGATGTCCAGTATATCCCTGTCCCTATCCATGATCCACTTTGGTAACCCTAAAATCAAACAGACAAAAGAAGATTTATTTATTTAATTATTAATTCATTCATCCATATATTTTATTTATGTTGTCGATTTACGTTAAAATGAGCGTGTGTGCTTGTTTCCGCATTGACTGATGACGGACCTCTGTTCTGTCATTGGGCGATGCTACTTGTTCGCTTTCACTTTCATTCCACCCACTGCTGCAGTGCGCATGCTCCTGACAAAGAAACAGCTGCACAGACTCTTGAACTACCTTTATTGTTTACTTTTAGATTGCGTTAAATTTAAAGTCCAGCACGTATGATGAACGCCATCGATGGAGCGAAGAACGGATATAAACAACTCTAGGCAGTAAACTCCTGAATAATGCGGTGGTAGTTGTTGAAATCAAAAGTGAAAGTGCTGTGGTGCACTCAGCAGTTATTTGATATCCTTCTAATTTAAATTTACAAAAAAACTGGGAACACTTGCACTATGGTGGGGATGATGATGGTTATTAAAGTCATTTTAACTGGATACCTCATGACGTGCGTTTATGGTAAGAGCATAAATCTCATTGATTAAGCACTGGCTGTAGAGACGTGACTGTGAGCTCGACATTAAAGCTTTTAACAGAAGTATTTGCTGATAACCGAAGAGCTCTGAGAAAACTGGGTATTTTCTGAACCTCTAATTAACAGTGTTTAGGTTACAATGGCAGCAGAATAATAGAAGGGCTCAATATACCGAAACACCTGAGCTCTCTGATCTTTTCTCTCTATTAGTCCAGACAGTGGTTCTATCTTAAATGCTGGTGCACTAAGATTTTTAAGAACTGTTCTTCTTCTTGTTTCTTCAGCTGATGGAGTTGCAGATGTGGTACTCACCTGCACTCTGGTGGAGGAGGGAGCTGGACTTGGTGGAATGGGAGGCGGTCACTTCACTCGGACTCCAGCCACTCTTATTTTACGAGATGTTGCTGTGGGCCCGGACGAATCACTCGAAGAACTCACTCCGTTTGTTCCTCCCTCCA